TCTCAGCCCATCGGTTCACAATACAAAACTTTCTTAGAACTCGGTACGTATAGACTAATTCTTTTAGTGCTTTACATGTACAAAGTGTGATTTGCTCCCAAACCTAAAACATATTTTTATGTAAAAAAAATTTAAAAATAATCACAGCTTGCGAGTCACTGCATTAACTAGCAGACCAAGCACACGTTTGCCTCTTTTCCCCACAATTAAGGTTTGCATACCGAAAGTTTTAGCAGCCTGAATGGTTTCTCTGGACCCACGAACTGTCATGATCTGCGCCAGAGCAGTTAAATCATCACTTGCTTTGTAAAATGGATACCGTCCACTGAGCAGAGAAAGGAACACGATTCCTGCAGACCACATGTCGATTGCTGCAATTCAAAACAAACACAGTAAAACAACTAAACTCGCAATTTCATCACAAACGAAATCACAACTTTCTTGAAAATTATGACCGCCAAAGTGTCCATCAGAACAATTGATGTGCTGAATTACTTACTGACTTTGGTCACACAGATAACACCTCAGCAAACAGTGGGAATTACTATAATTAGATTGAAGAGCAATTTCCTGCTTTGATGCAGAGGGAGTGTTTAAGCTTTTCCATAGCGATTTTTATACGAGTAATTCCATTAACTTGCTGAACTTACCATGTACCAAAACAATGCTTGAGGTTGTTTTACCCGGGGAGATGAGAGCGGGTGAAAAACTGGCTAGTTTTGATACTTACGTTGGCTTCATATGAAGAAAACCTTGTAGAAAGATCATAAATAAAAAATAATTCACAAATGAATGCAAATATGAGTTTTTCTGGGACTGAAGCTGCCAGTTAGGCAGTACTAAAAAAAAAAACCATCTTACTGTGAACTTTGTTCCTCGCTCTAATATGAAATCACTTGACAAGATAGCCAGTTAAAAACGGTGATAGTTACAAGTTATTCATCACTGTCGTGGTTTCATGAAGAGTACAGAGAGTACTCTGGGGAGAGAGGCCAAAGTATGATGGAAACTTGAATACTGAAAGTTATGAGAATACCTGTCTGCCATAATTTTTTGGCTCACTAAGATGCACATTTTGAGAGATGTCAAAGGAAAGCGAAGGAGAGGGTTTGGAGGATTCTCAAAGTCTAAACAGAAAAATTAACAGTTGGGAAATGAAGTTACGGTTCTGCTTCAAAAGAATAAGTCATAAAATAGGCAGTAATTAATTTGGACATTTGACTTAGAAACACTGTTAGCATAGGACTTTGGAAAGAAAAAAAGCTATGCTGACTTCAGTTGCAAAACCAGATTTTATTAAAAAAAAAGAAAAAAAAGCTGCCTGGAGGAGAAGGACCTGGGGGTGTTGGTTGACAGTCGGCTTCACATGAGCCAGCACTGTGCCCACGTGGCCAGAAAAGCCAACAGCATCTTGGCCTGTATTAAAAACAGTGTGACCAGCAGGGCCAGGGAGGTGATCATCCCCCTGGACTCGGCACTGGTGAGGCCGCACCTCGAGTGCTGTGTTCAGTTCTGGGCCCCTCACTAGAAGAAGGATGTGGAGATTGTGGAGCGTGTTCAGAGAAGAGCCACAAGGATGGGGAGGGCTCTGGAGAACAAGCCTGATGAGGAGTGGCTGAGGGAACTGGGCTTGTTTAGCCTGGAGAAGAGAAGGCTGAGGGGAGACCTCATCACCACCTCCAACTGCCTCAAGGGAGCTTGTAGAGAGGTGGGTGCTGGTCTCTTCTCCCAGGGGATGGGGGATAGAACAAGGGGAAACGGCACCAAACTGTGCCAAGGGAGGTTCAGGTTAGAGATAAGGAGGAAGTTCTTTCCTGAGAGGGTCGTCAGAAGCTGGAACAGGCTGCCCAGGGAGGTGGTGGAGTCACCATCCCTGGATGTGTTTAAAGAGCGGGTAGACGAGGTTCTTAAGGATATGGTTTAGTGGGTAGACAGGAACGGTTGGACGTGATGATCTCAGAGGGCTTTTCCAACCGAGCGATTCTGTGTGTGATTCTGTGTGTGAAAAACTAAAAATCCAAGTTAATCATCTGGCACAGTGGAAAGATTTGGTATCTCCTTCAGAGTTCCTGTAAACAAGTTGTAGTGTTACTGTATCGCTGTTGAGAAGTTCATGCCATCTGTTGGAGGTGCTGTGCTTCACCTCAGGTGTGTGGTTGGGAAAGCTGAGGTCAAGGTCAAAACCTTTAGAGCTGTTCAATACTTAACTCTTTCTGAAATTAATAGACACTGTATCTGAATGACTAGTAGTAAATCCTGGCCCTACAATTCTGCTAGAGCTGGGGTCATCAGCAGCATGCAGTGACATCAAAATCATGATTCCTCCCCATGCTTTTGTCTACTGGTATCCAACACGTGAGGCAGGCTGAGGAAAGGGGAGCAGAGGAGCAAACCAAGTCAGTGTAACTGGATCTGTACAACGACAACCTGGGAGCTGAGGTTGTGTTCTCTGCACTGTGAACCTGGGTCAGACGCACTAAGGAAGCTCTGGATGGACTCAGCTGGATCCATCTGGTAACTTGGTCTCAGCAGAGCGACCAGAACTAGTAGTGAGATTGGCAGGGATACAAGGAGGTGACTACAGCAGGCCCAGCTGGAAGTGGACGTGAAGATTTGTTAGCTCAAACACAACATAACCACATAAATATTAGGATTAGTCTGCCCAGCTCTAATTAGGGCCGTTGCTGACATACTACAGGAGCTCGGCACCACTGACTCAGTACTTCAGGGCCGTCTGTGCCACACCCAAGGGTTTCCAGATTTACCCATGTTTTCTGTAATCCCGCTCTCCATTACCCTGGAGAACAGAAAACAGCCTGCAAGCATATTTAACACCAGCGTGTGTCCAAGATTTCCTAGGTATGTCTTTCTGCCTAAATTCTGTCTAGACAGATTCAGGGATTGTCTAAACTGGATTTCTGGATGTCTTCTAGCCCATAAAGCTGACTGTTACAGCCCAGGCACAGCAACTCCAGACTGGCTGCTGTGCCTCTCGAAATCTACAGCACAAATGTTATTTCAAGTAACGTTAACCTAGCTAGGAATAAGCTGATCAGATCTACTGGTAAATTTATACTGAGTGTGTGTACGTGCTTGAAGTACTGAGAACTGACAATTTTCTCAAAAGATATTCAGGAAAAAAGTGGGTAAAACCAGTCATTTTTAATCCAGTTTTTGAGGACATTTGTATTTATCCTCCTTTTTCATAAATCAAAACTCCTGGTCATGCACCAAAGGTTCAACTGCTCCATTTACTGTTATTGGTCCTCCATTCTCCAGGCAGGCACAACCTCTCCCATGCTACCTGCAGCAGCTAACGCATTAACTGTCCCTCTGCTCTGCCCTGATCTTCGCCTAGACTACTGAAGCTTATTAACTCGACCGTGGTTTTTTTTTTAACCCTGAGAAATTAAAAATTTACTAAGAAAAAATTATGGTATTTACAGACCAGCTATTTAAAGCATTAGCAAAAAGGAAAAAAACTGATAAATATTAATCATTGGCAATTATAGCATCGACTATGGCTGCAATGACAGCAAACTGTATGGGACAATCTGTCTAGAAAAGTTTAAAGTATATACACCCTCTCCCCAAGATTTATTCAAAATTTTACTTGAATTAAAAAAGCCAAGAAACCTGATAAAAATTACAGCTTTGCTTTCTTTTAAAACACATTGTGTTTAACTCCTGCATGTGGCACTACCCCTCAAATGAATAAAGGCACATCCAAGTTTCAAAGACAGGAAAAATACTCTTAACTTGTTCTTACTCTGAATAATAAACTTTGAACACAAACCAGGAAATGCTCGCTAAGTGTTAGAAGGGATGATAAAGTGAATTTCACATGTAAGTGAAACCCCTCCCGTATAAAAGGCAACATGAGGAGGATCGAGAGGTGAAAACAGGCATTGTAGAGTCTGGTGTGCAGTACCTGTGGTCTGAGTGGGGCACTTGGTTAATACTTCAGGTGCTCTGAATCCCGGTGTTCCTGCCCTGGGAGCAACTTGCTGACACCTTTAATACAAGACAGACAAGTTTAGAATATAAAAATTGATAAATGAGTTCTAATTATAACAATGCTTACTATTATTTTTAGAATATACCTCTGTAAGATGTGTAAACAACCTAACTCTGCCTTACTCCAATTCTACACAAGTTTGAAGCATCTTATAATTATCTAGCATGAAATTATTATGTTGCCTGTATGCCTTATTATTCTATTTTTATTATATAATCTAGCATAAGGTAATACCACATTAACACTTATTCCATACTTCACTTACCTTTCTTAGTTTCATTCAACAGCAGCATCATTTTTGTTTGTTTTCATAGGAAACTTTAAAGTCAAGACTAATTCACCAAAGGCAAAAAAAATTGCACTAGATTCTTGAATGGGGATGCTCTGGCTTTGCGTTAGTCCACAGCAAACAAAGGTTCACTGTTTCTGAGTGTTGGCAAGGAGTTACTTTTTGTTAGATTAACTAAAAATTAGATTATAATTATTAAAAACAAAAATCCAGAGCTTTCTCGTATGGCTTAGAGTGCCTTCCTTCTATAGGTCACTTCTCTTCTGAGTCTGGCAAACTCCTTTCGTTTCAGACTTTTGAAATTAAGTTGATATCACCATATTTTGACAGTCTGGGAAGAGAGGGACCCCACAGTTTCATGACTATGCCCAGTAAGGAGAATTCTTTGCATTAATCTGTGTTCCTTGATGTGTGGGTAAGAGGCAACAGTAGATCAGAACCAAAACGAACCGCAGAGGAATGGAGTTGGACTGAGTAATGAAGATTCTCTAGCCTGTTTATTATTAAAACTTATTTTTTAAATTAACAAATACAAGAGAGCAATGTTTCCTTTTTATTCTACATTTCCTGATTTCTAGAATCCAAAGTGTTCCCATAATTTAGGCCCATTAGATAACTACTAATGACAGATTGATGTGTTGTCCTCTCAAAGCGCTGTAACTAACTCAAGTGATTTTCTACAGCACGTGTAGGTGGATCATTAAATACAACGACAGCAAATCATTAACAGTGCATCTCTCCTGCTGCAAATAGCAATGAACCAATTATTCCATGAAACCCATGAACTCTCCTTGTTCAAAAAGAGCATACTCAGTGTTTTAAGGGCTGCAAAGATCAAATGCTATCTTTCACCTCCTAAGTCAGCTGTCTCGTAAATCTGTTTCTGACCTTGCTTGACAGCATAGCAGCCAATTTTACAACGTTATCAAAGCCAATTACCTTGAAAGGCAAACACTGCAAACTCTGTCCGTCGCGTAACAGTCACAGGTCAGGTTTGAGGGACAACCGCTGGCAGCTTTCCTGGCTGCCCCATTGCTCACTGCTTTGGTAGAAATAATCTTCTTCTTTGTTACTAATTTCCTAGATGAAACATCTATCACCTTTGATTGTTTGACGAGCTGCAACGTAGATATTTTCGAGAAGGTGACATATTTAAGAAGGTTCCCTTTACATACAGATAGGTTAGTTCCTAAAATACTACGTGCTCATGAGCAAGAAGCTGCAATTTTGGAGCAGAAGACTTTTTAACAGTATCACAGCATCTCTAAAACAGGCACTGGAGCTTTCTAAATATCCTGATTTCCTCCCCTTCCACTTTGGAAAACATTTTTCAGTGTTTACTAAAAACCAATATACATTAGCTACAAGACAAGTATTTTTCTAGTGTAATGTTTCAAGAATTCTTTTGGCTCGAGAATAAAAAAAAAAGTTATATGAAATGCCACAGCACTAACCCTAATTCTACAATAAGATGATCACTGTTGGCCAAACCAGCTAATTGAGTTGGGGCTTCCCCGTTATCATATCAAATACTAATTGTAAGAAGTACAGAAAAGTATTTATTACAAGTTTTCTCTCCAGCTTCAACTGCAAAATGAATTTAAAAAATAGTTTCACAGGCTAAGTGTATCTTAGTAGCACAGATATATAGGTAGGAAAAAAGATCAGCACACAAACAAGATCAGCTAGGGAGACAGCTACGTAACTGGCTCTTCAAGGAGTTTCAAAAGGGACTGAAACAGAACTAAAAATGCTTTGAGCCTTTCAGCAGACACTTAACATCAAATCCTTTCAGTTCCACAGCATCCTGCAGTAGTGTCCAGTCTTACAGAACAACCAGTTCTATAATTTTTCAAATACGTTACAGATTGCTCTTCCTGATGAGTCACACTTCTTACTTTTGTACTCGAATTCTGGTATGTGGAACTATAGACGTTGAAATTCCTCTCTCCAAAGACAGAGCGCTGGGCAGAGCGGTGCACAGAATCCTCCTGCAATACCAAGAAAAAAGGCAATAAGGATCCTGTCTAACGCAGTCAGCTGGATACTGACAGCTTGAAAACAAAGTGTGAAGTGACATAAAACAGGAGCAGCATGGTCAGGCATTTCCAGGCATCCATCTACCATGGATGAATAAAATACGGTCTAGACAGGGCAGCAAACACGCTTACAAAACGAATCACGCCTCAGAAGTGCCCCAAGACAATCTGAACGTCATCTGTGCTGCTTTTGTTAGACAACTAACTAGACATAGATCAATAATTATTGGCTTGGGGAGGAGTATCACAGTACATGCCACTTTAAAAAGATTTAAGGCTGTCTAAACCTGCGCTAGGGTTTTGTACTGTACCCAACAGGCAGTGAACGATGGCAGCAGGGTTACAGAACCAGCCACTTGACTGAGAACTGCTGTCACTGCATCACCTCGGGATGCTGCAAGTTGCAGGCACGGCTTTTGTTGAGGTGCTCCATCTCCTCCTGCTGGATGAAGCAATGCATTAAACACAACAAAAGGAATGAAAGAGAATGAGAACCTTTCCTGCTCTTTCTTGCTTTATCTGCATTTTTGGAAGGGAGCTGGACCTTTCATCAGCTGCTTTTGAGGCTGACTCTTGAGCTATCTGTTTAGGTGCTGCGACACTGACAGACACCCCATTTCCCAAGGGTATGGTGGGATTATTTTGTGAGCAACTTCCCTGCTGGTCTTCAGAGTGAGCAGTTTTGAGAAGTTCAATTTTTGTATCAGGGGTTCCTTGTGCCAAGCCAAAATCTACCAAGGCATACCTGAAAGACACAAATTTAGAATCAAGAGTCACAAAGTCCCCATCAATCAGTTCAATTTACTATTAATGACTTGTTTACTTATCTTTCTTTCACATTTTACTCAATATCTTGCTTATCTGTTCTGTTGCCAGCATCACAGGCCTATTTTCCTCCTTCTCTTGTCCTATCCTACCTATCTCCTTAATGTTTTTACCCTCTACCCATCTTTCTTCATTGTTTCTTGTCCCAAAATCTCCTCAAATGCACACTTTCTCGAATGCTATTAAAAATATATTCCCAGCAGCTCCTTTCTGGAGTTCTTCTAGTCCTACAGCTCCAAACCTTCAGCCAATGTCCAAGTACAAGTGACTGGACCCTTGCAGGATTCCCATGGGCAGAGGCACAAATGTGGCAGTGAAGAGTGAGAGTTTTGCCAGGCTGCAAGCAATACTACTGGAATTTACTTCGGTCTTCACTCAGGTAAGACTCCATTAGTTCACGCTTCAGATCTAGCTTTAATATAATTATTTTTTCCTACAACCAGTACAGAGACAATGCAGGTGTCTCTGGATCTCAGGCAAACTCAACTCCATGGCCTCCACACCCAGATTAAGAAATTAGGGCTCAAACAAATGCTGGAAGAGCAAAATGACAGTAAGAATTTATTCTGACAGACTGAAAAAGAAAAAATCCTGACATTTAAAAATGTGGTTTGGCAAAATACAACCAAATATCCCCTACAAACTTTCACTATAGAGAACCATAGAATCATTTAGGTTGGAAAAGGATCATTGAGTCCAACTGTTAACCTAGCACTATCAAGTTCTGCTAAACCATGGCCCTAAATGCCACATCTACACGTCTTTTAAATCCCTCCAGGGATGGTGACTCCACCACTTCCCTGGGCAGCCTGTTCCAGTGCTTGACAACCCTTACAGTGAAGAAATTTTTCCTCATATCCAATGTAAACCTCCTCTGGTGCAACCTGAGACAGTTTCCTCTTGTCCTATTGCTTGTTACATGGAAGAGGAGACTGACCCCACCTCGCTCCCCCCCTCCTTTCAGGCAGTTGTAGAGGGTAATAAGGTCTCTCCTCAGCCTCCTTTTCTCCAGAATAAACAACCCCAGCTCCCTCAGCTTGGGAGCACAGTAAGACTTGTGCTCCAGACCCCTCACCAGCTTCACTGCCCTTCTCTGGACGCACCTCAGTGTCTCAATTGTACATAGCACAGTGCTCACCAATACAAGTATAGCTAGTCCTGCTAGCACTGAAACACGACCTTACTCTATCCACTTCAGCTCTTCACAAAAAAAGCACTACCTGGCTTTTTACTGTCTTTAAATATTGGAACTTGCAGGCAAAAAAACCCAACCCTACTACTACTAAACATTAATTCAATGTAAGATGTAAGCAGCCCAAATCCAGCAATCCTATCTGTATCAGTTTTACCCTATCTGTGAGTAAAAATTGACAAATATCAGCCAATACACCACAAGTCACTATTGGGCTTCTTATTAAAAAAAAAAAGAACTGATTTTATTATTCTCATTCTTTTTAAAAAATTTAGTACTTTTACTCTATAGTAAAATCTTCGTATTTTTCAGTTACTTGTCACTCTGAGGCAGATATCACATTCGGTATGGAAAGAATTCCTTCCTGCCTCTTAATCTCTAAACACAGAAAATTTTACAAATCAAGAAATATTTTTTAGCTTTATTCCTTCAGCACATGTTATGCAGCTGGAAGGATAAAAACCACCCCAAAAGCCTAATTGCCTCTGTCCTGCCAAGGCACACATCCCCAGATGAGATCCCAGTACGGTCACCTGCACACTTACTCTTTTAGCCGCCTGTTGTAGAGGAAGTTACTGGGCTTGACATCGCGGTGAACGATACCGAAGTGATGAATACGCCTCAACGCTTTGAACAGATTGAACATGTATTCCTTCACTTCTTCAAAGGAAAGCGAATTCAGAATGTCCTGAAAGATTATTTGGATGCTGTAATTCCGCAACTGCTTTTAATTAAGAAGTTTTACTATACATAAAAAGTCTGGGACTCACCAGAAAGGATTCATGTTCCAGATACGGCATGACAATAACCACATGATCATTTTTCCTAAAGCAGTATTTAACTCCCATAACGTTATCTTGTCCCCTAGAAGAAAAGTAATGCCACTGAATAAAGACCCTAGGATGACTGTTTATTTTCCTTTGTTTCTGAAAAACTTCAGTCAGGCTTGCTTTTATGATCGATCTAATTTATACTTTGACAGCAGTCAGTGGTTCTGCTGTGGCCTCTCACTGCTGCTTCATTTGAGTTCTGCAATTTGCAATGAGGGCTTCACAGATGATTTGCGGGACCATGGTTTGTAGTTACGCTGTAATTAAATTGTAGGACCTGACCTTCACAATACCAACTACTTTTAGAAGGTGCTATTTAACCCACTCAAGTATTCACTCCTAAAACAGCATTTTCTGATTTAAGAGATTATTTTTTCCAAGCATTTCATAGCTGAAATCTTTGTTATCACAGAGATGCATCATAGAACTTCTCAGATGGAAAATACAGCACCATCTGCACACAGACTGGCAGAAAAGGGCATCCACCACAGGTAAGACACTCAAGTTTCTTATTTGCTGTGGATAAAAAGAATACACATTTCTGCAGTTAGAAAAAGCAAGTGAATTGCCAAAACTTAAAACAAATACAGTGAGACAATGCTCAGCAGTTAGTCCTGACAATCATAATTTCTTTCGTTTATGTACCCTGCTACTGTGAGGCACTGAAGCTCGGCAGCAATTCGCAGAGGGTGGCTGGTTGGAATCAAGTGCTTCAGAGCCATTTTTTCCTCATTGCCTGTTTGTAGTCGTGCTGTGGCCAAGTAAACAGAACTAAAAGTACCTGCAAAGAAGGGAGACAAACACTGTCTTCAGCATTTTTAATTAGGTCAACTCAGATTTTACGGAAGTGATCTAACTGCTCACAACCCTGTAGTAGATTTGATACTACATCAAAAGCAGATTCTAGAAGAGGAAAATGCAGTTCCTTTTTTTTTCTGCTACTGAATTCACTGATCTTGTATACAAGTTTTTTATGTCGGTAAAAATGCAAATGTAACACTGTCTAACTTGCCTGGGACACAGAGCTCTTTGAATGTAAATTTCCTATCTTTGATTTGCTTTCTTGTTTAGGTAGCTCACTTTCATCTGACATCCAGCTCTTCTCTCCCTGCGATGTAAGTGGGCTATGTAATGCTAATCTGGAAAGCACTGCCTTAACTATTCAAAGCTCTTCTGAAATTGCTACATTTTCCTTAATTCTGTTACCTTATCTCCAAAGTAAGACTTTTCACATGGTGTGTAACTTTGTTTGCCCAGAGCATTACCACATAGAACATGATACAGCAAATAAGAAAGGGAATATTCAGTGTGATAAACTTACCCACCCTTTTAACTTCAAGGATATCCTAAGATACCTCTTAAGAGGTTAACTCATCCTAATGATCCCAGATAGCTGAACATACAAGCTGAAGCATTGTTCCATATAAATAAACAGTACAAATTACTTTTGATTACATTTTAAGTATTGTGTTTGCATCATGCTAGTTCAACAGTGCACACACACATCAGAATGACTGCAAAAACTCTCAATACTTCTTGCAATAAAAAAAATCTAGTCCCATACGTTCAGTAGAATTGATTATAGCAACAAGGTCTATACCAGCTTGACCTAAGACACTATTTTTGGTGCTGAGACCTGCTAAAATCAAATTCACTCCAGAGTGGAATCCAAAGTCGAAGCTTGTTTTCTCATAACGCTGCAGAACTGCAAGTGGTATTTTTTAAAAGCATCCTTTGCTCCCAAGAGCAAAATCAGAGTGCTATTCATAACCAGAGATTTTGTTTAATTATACCATCTGTTTTTTGTGATAGGCAGAACTCATTTTTTGGTTGTTTGTGAAGTTTTGTATTGCTGTGGTGGATGGAGCTGGAGTTTTTGGGTTGGATTTTTTTTGAGACAAAATCTTTTAGCCATCGCAGCCATTCCATCACAAAAAGCAATCCAGCTTCTCATCAACATCCGTGTTTAACAGTATGCAGTGTCACAAAGCATTTGAGATCAAATGGGCCGAGTTCCAAGAAGTGCTGAAATCCCACACCCAGAAGCACCTAAGAATCTATTTAGTCATGCCTGAAGTTTAGTAAAGGCAACTGCAATATTATCTGTTGAAGGCAAGGTGTGCACGAGTATTCTAAAATCTGATACTGTGTGTCTTTAAAAACAAAGTGTGGGGTTATTTTTTTCAAGGAAAGAAGCTGTAATCTTTCAGTTTTCTCCTCCAGTTCTGCCAACAGGGCTCTAGAGGAAACAAAGCCAATGTAAGGAACAGCAGCTAAATACATCAATACACAGCAGCTTATAAACAGGTTTCTCATGTAAAAGAGAAAAAGAATGGAGTGTTAAGACTTATTTACTCGAATTTACCTCAAAAATTTTTAGTAGTTGAAAGCTGTTTTTTTGAAAGGCTTTAATATACCAGATTTTAAAGAAAATATCTTTAAAATGTCCCTAATTAACACACCTTTATGCTCAGCAACATATTGGAATTCATACAGAGACCACAAAGTAAACCCAAAAGGCTTAAACTGCATCTATTGGGATTTCAGACTGATACTTTTTAAGTTAAGAAATATCAAAAGAAATCTTAAGACTAAGCAAGCCAAATTAAAACATTTACCTTCTCCAATTTTGTCCTTAATTTTGAACAGGTTTACAAGCTGTGGCACTGCTTCATAAAGCTTTTCAATATCTCTTTTTATTCCCACTGTGGAAAGAATGGGAAAAATATCTTAGGGATCTTATTGCTGGATTCATTATCTGATCTATGTTTAAGATGACAAATCACACTTCAGTTCACAGGACATAAACAGAGGAGAAAACAGCAGACAGGTATCTAACCCTGCTGGTATCACCTGATACTGGGGTTGCTCAGCACACTCCATTATAAGCTGCAGCATTTGAGAACTGGGTTTTGGGTTGCTTGGGGTTTTTTTGGCTTTGGTTGGTTGGGTTTTGTGTGGGGTTTTTTTTTTTGGGTTTGGGTTTTGGATTTTGTTTTTTTTTCACTTATCTGCCACCAAGCAGCTCCTGACAGGGAAAAAGCTTTCTGGTTAGTAAGACATCAGTTTACAACTCATTGATAAGTGAGACTGTGTTCAGTTCTGGGCCCCTCACTAGAAGAAGGATGTGGAGATTGTGGAGCATGTTCAGAGAAGAGCCACAAGGATGGGGAGGGCTCTGGAGAACAAGCCTGATGAGGAGCGGCTGAGGGAACTGGGCTTGTTTAGCCTGGAGAAGAGAAGGCTGAGGGGAGACCTCAGCACCACCTCCAACTGCCTCAAGGGAGCTTGGAGAGAGGTGGGTGCTGGTCTCTTCTCCCAGGTGATGGGGGATAGAACAAGGGGAAACGGCACCAAGCTGTGCCAAGGGAGGTTCAGGTTAGAGATAAGGAGGAAGTTCTTTCCTGAGAGGGTCGTCAGAAGCTGGCACAGGCTGCCCAGGGAGGTGGTGGAGTCACCATCCCTGGATGTGTTTAAAGAGCGGGTAGATGAGGTACTTAGGGATATGGTTTAGGGGGTAGACAGGAACGGTTGGACGTGATGATCTCAGAGGGCTTTTCCAACCGAGCGATTCTGTGATTCTGTGTGATTTACGTCGTCAATTTAATAAAAGACAAAACTCTAACAGTTGTTTCTGTAAGCACTGGAGCGCATCCATGGGGTGCAAATCAAACATGGAGGAAAAGAATTTTTTAAGCTCAATAATGCAATCTTTCACACTGTTACTCAACATAGTAAACACCAAAAAAGTTTGCTCTGCACGGAAGTTGCTGCACTTTGTGCTGCAGTCACTAGATGGCACAACAAGGATGTTGTACTGCATTACAAATCTTTGTAGTTTAAGTGTTTTCTACACCCTGCATAAGAACTTTGTTCTCTCAAAGCTATGAAGTATGCAGAGGCTGTGACTAATCTCTGTAAAGCAGAGGTGAAGATGATTATTACACAGAAGTAAGCACAAGCCGGTATTTGGAAAGTCAATCCAATGGAAGGAAAAAAACGAGGTGTATGCATTTTTCATCCTAAAAATAAGTAAGAAATTAAATTTAACATAAATATATAAATCATATTTTATAGATAAAAAATACACTATGTTTTACCAAGACAGTAAGTCACAAGCAATCAGAATATTTGTAAATATACAAAATATCACAGATATGCTAGAAACAAAGTATGGATTAGCATGCATCCCCAGCATTCTATGTTAGCTCACTTCATGCAGCAACCAAGTCTGAAGTCTGCCTAAAGAACCCTTTCATCCTGATAAAAGCCCAATAAATGAGTTGGTAATTCAAGTCATAATTAACTTTCCATTGTAATTTTTTTAAATGTCAAAAATATATAAAAACCAACATACTCCTGAAAACTGAAGCCTGCTGCCTCTCTTACTATCCATTTACTTTACTTTTTTCCTTTAATTTGTTCCCCCTGCTTATCCAGGTTATTTTGTTTTAAGTCATTTTGTCTCACGCTGAATTTGGGTTCCTGCCTGGACAAAGCTCAGTGGCACTGAAGCACTAGCAGCTGGGTGACACAAGCTGTAGATCCTGGGCCAGAGGGGTCCCTACCCACGGCTCTTAGTACCTCAACACAGCTTCTTGCGTGAAAGATTCCCAAAAGTGCTAGAAAAGTGGCTGTCCTTGTTGACAGACAGCAAAATAAACATCATCTGTTCTCTTCTGGGGGCCTGAATCCCCAGCTGTGTACAGAGAACATACAGACATTGCACCACCAGTGTATAATAATAATATTCAACTTTTCTGTGAACAGATTTTTCAAGCAATTTCTTTACTTCATAGAATGAAAAGCATTTGCAAAGCAAGACAATTAAATGTTATTCAGCATCACGCTAATTCTGGATGTGCAGGAGACTGACAGAGGACTATTTCTAGGAAAATCAGTGGCCATTCTGTATAAACTGGCTGAGCATCCACAATTGCTAAGGACTGTGCCTGTGTACAGGAAGCCCAGCTTGAAGTATATTCACACAGAGACTCAAAAAAGAGCAACAAAAACGCGACCCAAGCACACATTCATAGTTCAGCTTCTCTAGCAAGAGCCAGACCAGTGTTTTTATGCACAGACACCTCTAAAGGTATTTGAGGATAAGGCTGGCGATTACAGGTTAGAAGGCAAAATATTATGTTTGTGTACTTTTCTGGTCAGAGGATTTTATTCTCAAGGACTATGTTTTTGGAATTTTGGTATCCTCTTACAGTAACATATCCTTTAAGAAATAAATAGTTGCTTTAGTGACTTGTGACAACTGCTGCTGTTGAAATTTCTTAACACATGGAAAGCAGAAATAGGCTTAAAAGCAAAAGCAACCTCAAAAGTTTTCATTTCATTAATTCTTTATACAATAAGACCATATACAGACAGGCTTATAATCGATGCTGAAACAAAATCTAATGTCAGCAATCCCTATTTCAGCACATACCTGAAAGCTTGCTGTTCTGCTCCTGCTTCCCATGGAAGTCTTCAGCCTGAGGAGGGTGCTGTTCATCACAGCGAGACTTCAGCGCTGTCTCCATCACAGAACAAAACAGAAGTGAAAAATCCAAGATCTCGAGGACCACTTCTGGACACCTGGGGGAGCAAGCACATCTGGTAAGACACTTCCTGGCCCTGCACTCAGTTCCTGAAATGAGATTTAGGGAGCCAGAGGAGTTCCCCTGTGCTACCTAAAACAACAAAGCGTCACCCATCATCCCAGAGAAACTAAACCAGCAAACCCACTCTGTCTCTAGTAAGAGGAACAAAAGGGGGAAAGGATCCAGGAAGACTACAGGATAAGCTTAGACACAAGTGATTTTCTTTCATCTCTTGTGTGTTTCCTCATTCACATTAAAACATTGTATTTTCCTTGAAGTTTGCTTTGAAAGGCAAGGAACTGATGCACATAGGGATAGCTGCATTGCAACACCCATACAGAGACAGAAAACCTGAAAGAAAGAAGGAAAAAACCAAGTCTTCTCGGTAAGAGATTTCTCTCTCTTCTAAATAAGATCAACCAAAGGTGCAATTATTTGTGCCCCTCCCCCAGTCACAAATAATAATAGCACACAGGCATTTTTGGAAATGCTTCTTCCCAAATCTTGGAAACAGTGCAAATAGAACCGTAAATTAGTAATGTGTACTAATGCTGTACAATCAAAACCCCCTGATAATCCTGTTTCCTGAGGAAAAGAAAGGCAGAGAGCCCCAGGGCTGGATAACCGGTGGTAAGCGAGCCTGGAAGCACCAACACTGGTTCTATTCAAAAGATCTTCCTTGCTTGTAACTTTGCCAAACCTCCAAAGCTCTGGCTGAACTTTTCTATGTGGGGAAAACATACTCTGACAGCTTCAAGTTAAAGAATTAATCTATTTCAGCTATGGAGCTAGAAATGTATTTTGTCCTCGGAGAATTCAGGCTACCTTTAGTCTGTCATCCTTGAGCACCAGAACAGGGACAGGCAACAGCCTCTTTTTTTGAAGGAGCGCTGCTGGAGCGTGGGACTTAGAATTTAATGGAATGAGATTAAACGTACTGCTGAGCTCTCACAGGTAGACACTCCCTCTGCTAGTGCTGAGGAGGCAGATAAGCCTGTTCCAAACCTGAAATAGCACGGCCTCATTAGCAGAATAAGGAGTCCAAATTACTACAGGCACTCCTATGCTCACTACGGCCTCCTTGCTCTGATTCAGCTCCACGCCAGCCTCAGCTCTAGGCTCTCCCAGTCCAAGGTTGGCCATAAACACCCTGTTTGGAAAAAGAAAATGAACACCTGTCTGCCTGCAAACCACCACAGGAACATGTTCGTGGCCTGCTGGCCATGAGGAGGGTAAAAGGGGCTCAGTAACTCAAGATGTCATTTCCATTCATTTATGTTAAATGCACAAGTTACTACCTCCAGAGCTGAATACCTCAAATACTTGAGTACGTTAAAAAACGGTTTACTGATTTGGAAGTGGGCTTAACACCTAAAAAACAGAACATTAAATGAAGTTTGGTTCAGTCAGGTATTTAGTTTTTACATTAAAAAACACTTAAAAGACACCATTAGCGATAAAAAACTAAAACTATGACCAATATGGTCCAAAGTTTCCACTCAAAGAACCTTCTTACAGTTAAATCACCTCCTCACTTTAAAAAATAATGTTTTCCATAGCATCAAGGAAAAAAAACCCCAAACCCAGATAGTGACAGTTTCAAACGCCACACAGAGATTCAGGGTCAAATATTTCAACCCCGCACACAAAAATTAGGGATACTGCTGCTGAATCCTTGGCTAAAGCAATGTGGCCAACGGAAGCACAGCCTGCTGCCACTAAAATGCAAAGCTGCTTTAAACGGGAACTCACACACAGACACCCCTGGCAAAAGCTCAGCATGCCAAAAAAAAGTAATTATATTAATACCACTACTTTGTCATTTAAGAAAAGCAAGCGCTGTGGCTGGATTCAGTCTTGCAATAAGTTGATGTTTTCTACAGACACACAACAAATCCGCCTGTTACAAGACAGGCCCCGGCAGTCACACACCCAGCACCCCAGTGTGCGCTGATGTGACAAAAGCCAAACACCGGCCACCCCCGCAGCCGGGCTCCCGGCCCAGCGCACGGCCCCGGCCGCCTTCCAACCGCGGGTGG